TCTTCTTGATTCGGCGGTACAATCGTACGATTGTATGGGGGCCCGAATATGCGGGTTTCACCCAATTTTGGGTAAATTGCGAATGCCAAAACCCAGGATCGTTATTGCGCCATAATCGTTGATTGTTCACCGATCTGGGACCCGATCGTTGTGCGGATAACATTTTTAGTTGATCATGGTTTATTCTGCCCATGACAGTGTAAATAGATATAAGTGTGATAAAAACCTTACTAAGAAAGATAAACGTATCTGTGAAGAGCAATATATTAAAACAAAAAGAGTTCCTTTGTGTTCTAAATGTCAGAAAAATCATTGGCAATGTAAGAATGACACATGTGAGAATTGTTGTAGGTTAAACAAATGTAATGATTTTATATGTTCTTCATATAAAGCATGAGGTATCGATTGTAAACATGTTTTTCTGCGTACACAAGATGATTACCAGCGATTGGAAGCTCAAGGTGTAACCTATATATCTGGTCAACCAGAACCAACAGAGAATGGGCATTTGTATGAACAAGTGTTTTTTCAGTTTAATGACCGTAAAACAGTTAAATCAACTAAAGAAATTTTTGGTCATAAATCTATGAATTTTCCTAAAGAATTACTAGGTAATTCAGAGCATAATCGAGCATATAGTATGAAGCCATGGAATCACTGTAAGGATCCTCTTCATGTTAAAGATTGTCATTGTGATTTTATGAATCGAAGCAAGATTTGTAACGTATGCGTGGTTGAGTATATTGAGAAACATACTCGTGCATGTTGGGTTGATAACGGATGTGAACTTGGACCTTGGGAATTTGGAACCTATCGCTTCTTATCTGCACCAGCTGAATTTTTGGATGTCAAGAAGGAGGATGATGCGCGTGTTGAAAATATCATTTGAGAAAATCTTACAACAGAAGATATATTAGCGGATCTGGTAAAGTTGGTGCCATAGCATTTTTATTGATTATTCCAGGATTTAGATTATATTAATAACCGCCAAAAAGAAATTTTAAATAAATTTATGAGACGTTTCTGGCGGCCAGTAACTTTTTACTTTTATAGTGAGGGTGGGGCAGGTAAATCTAACCTCATTCAAAAGTTATTTTCCAACGAGTTATACTCGAAACCTAAGAAGCAAAAATCAGGGTCAAGTTGGTAGGATGGCTACGATAAACAAGAAATTGTTCTTTTTGATAAGTGGTATTCAGTGCTTGATTGGAATGATGTTGTTAAATATTTGAACGATACTCCAGAAAATGTTGAGCAAAAAGGCAAGACATTTGTGTCTTTTCTTGCCAAGTATGTCTTTATGACATTTTACAAACTACCAGAAGAAGCTTTTAATTTTCATCGAGTTAATCTGTCTGATGAAACATCAACTTAATGTGATTGGGGACAATTCTACCGACACTTGGATTATATTATCGAGTTTAGAGGCATGTGGCATGATGAGCTAGATCAGCACACCACCGAGCTCATATTTCACAAAGGCTCAGAGGAAGATTTCCGCAACATGCGTTGGGATGTTAAATATGATGAGGGCGAGTATACATGTGAAGAGTTGAGAACCATTATTCAAGAGCTTAATAAAGATCAGGATGG